CCGAACCTTACAAAGCACGAAAAATAATTATATAGATGTTTCTGAAGAATTGTGTGCCTTTTTATTCATGGCCAGTTCGATGCGAGGAAGTCGCCGAAGCGTCTGCCGGTGGGATCATGAAATTTCGGTGTTTTGTCGGTCAAAGTAGGTTGTGGTAAATCGGCGTTCAGAGTTGTAAAACTGTCAGCTCATTTTTAGCAAGGTTTTCTTTCGACTTGTGCTGTTCATTAACTCTCCACAGACATCGGGACCAAAACATACACTTACATAAGTGTAAAAATAACCGTACAAATTCAAGGCAAGAGAGTGTCCATCTTCATTCCCACTCCCGATTTTGCCCTTAAAGTAACCACTGCCCACCAGAATAGTGCCCCCCGGCCCTCCAGCTCCATGTGTTTCGAACATTTCTACTTTGTTACCAAGTAACATCAATCTTCTTATTTCCAGGTGTTACTGTCCGGCGCACTTGTTGGGTCTGAGTACGAGGAGATCACAGTTGATCCAGGTCGCGCCATATTGCCAGACACGACGGTTACACCGGCTGGTGATTTCCTGTACGTTCTTTCAACGGCGAAGGTAAGACCCTCGCAGAAGGCATTTCATATTCATTCGCGCCGACATTGACAATAACGACAAAACAAAATGTCCTGTCATTGAGTTCGCCCCTTGACTTTTAATGAAGTAACGCGTAGAAACTAAATGTCAGACACTTTTGCAGTAGGCGGGAATAAATTATTGCCCGCATCACACATCAACTTACAGTTATGAATGACACTTGAAAGCCCACACAAACGCTGTTATATAAAAAATAAGAATTTAAATATCTTCAAGGCAGAAAATCCTCCAGGTTCAAATTCGTAATGTGTAGTTCTTATTGTCTGAATCATGCGTACTAATACTTAGAGCTTGATTTTACGATAAACGGCGTCTCGAATCTCGAAATGAAATATGGCCGTTGCTAGAATGACTTTCAATAAACACGCTGTAATTCATACCGAACTTGCATACCGAAAATTCGTTCAGACACTATCATCTTCATCTTTCGTGCAGCATTACTTCTCGAGAGTGCATAGTTTGTCATTCCCTTGCGATTATGTGTGCCTGCCTCGTATGCCCTAATGTACCTCTGGTGTGACAGAGTTGAAGGCAGACACAGAAAAGAACATAATATATTGTTTTAAATAAAATGAGCTCCCTCTCCCAACCCGTGCCTTTAAGTACAAAACGTCGTATGCGTATTTATTATCTTCTCCACCTGTTATATGTAAATATCTATGCGATTTAGCATTTGTATACTTCACACTTCATATAGCCTCTTATCTTAACAGGACCTAGCAGGTTATCTCTGTGGTAATAAAATTTATTTCTGTTTGAGAAGTAGCCTGTTCTAATCCATTCAGTGAGGTGTGTGTAGTTTCGCTTTAGACCTTGTGGGTTTACGACCGTTTGTTTCCACGATTTTAAATTCGCCGTTCATATTTTTCACTCATCTCGCTAGACAATAACATAACATTGTCGATGTTTTCCGTGAAGAAACCTGTAACTCTGTAACTAATTACGTCATGGTAAACGGAGTTTCCTTGAAAAGAGTGTCATAAACAGTATTAAAAGGTGTTGACAACTGCATTCTGTATTATATCTTGGCCTAATGCCGGGAAACGTCTGGTTTCAGTAACCGTACCAGTCTAGCCAGAAAGAAAAGGAATGATTTAATCGATTTTCCTTCGTACGAATAATTTTACATGGCAGTGGAACTACCTTTATTGGTGAGGAAAGTGTATTCCCTGCATATCAGGGACCAATTATTTGCAGGTAATTTCTATATGTGTTTGTGTTGAAGAAGTTCTCGATTTTATAATGTCTTTTTACAGTGGCATTTGCCTGTATGAAACTCTTGTCCTCTTGGCTGTCCATTTCATGTTTCCTTATACACATTAACATCGTATGCTTCTCTTTTAGGCTTCGTTATTAATTTAGAACACACTATACGAAATTACTGTTAAATAGAGTGCTATAAACTTACGAGGTAAAATTAATTCCCCATCTGCCTTTAGTTCATTGAAGCACAACTTGAAATCACTGTTTATAATGCACCGTTGGGACACTGCATAGAGTAGAGTCCGTATGAAGCTGTATTGTGTTAGAATCATGCATAGTACGTCATAACCCGAGGCAGTTTGAACCAAATCCCTTTAGCAGTATTGACTGATGTTTATAAGCAACTAATGTAAAACCAGTGGAGGTTGTGTAGTCGGAAGTTTAGTCACATAGTGTGAGAGTTGGTAAACCCCATTTCAGCCTAGTAGACTGTGTTAATTGAAAACGACTGGGCTACAGTTCTGCCAGAAAACACACACGTAACATCGTACTATCAAACTCAGGTAGAGTTGATGTTTCAGTAATGTGTTTACCACATGTCTCGAGACCTGGGAAGCCTCTGCTGGTTCTGATGAGAACTATAATGGTTTGCTAGTGCAGAACAGTGCTAACAAGTGTAATTGCATAATGGATTGAACAGCGAGCTAGTATAGAGCTGAACACACCTGACTGGATGTGTGGGACACTAGTGGTCTGGTTACTGGATCATTCCGAAGCTAATTCACAGGCTTCTATGTCTGATAAAATCAGGTTTCCTTCCCGATGCATATGCGCCGTTGATTTTATAAGTATTTGCGTCAGTTCACTGCTGTAAAAGAACATCTTTTTTTACAACAGCGGAACATGATGTGCTGTTGTGTTGTTCATTGTCATCGCCCTGATGTTGGAGGCAGCAAGGACCTCTGAAATGTTGGTAAACTTCTACCAGACTACAAGAATCCAGAAGACAGCCAGCTTAGTCCTCGCCGCCGTGAGAACCTCACGTCCTACTTATGAAGAAATCACTCCCCGCTGAGGTTCAGCTGATCGTTTGTAAATACTAGTCATTGAAATACCTGCATTGAACTCGACGACATTTTCATTTGTCGAGTATAATCCCTTTAAACCGTAACAGTACCGCCTAATTTTAAAACGAGCACATAATTCTTAGAAGCCTTTTTTTATTAATGTTGTGTTTGAATTATTTGTATTTTATTTCCTTAATGGACAATTTGTTCAGGAAATTTGACGAACGTCTGAGGTGTCTTCGTGTTGTTACGAACAACAAAGGACGGCAAATTTAATAAAAGTGCAAACTTTGTCTTCTGTTTAATGTTGTCTCATTCTGATGTTTACATTAATGTTTGTAGTGGACTTGGTAGACAGGTAATTACTGTTGTTTTTTGTTAAATATTTGAGAAGTGTCTCAGAGTGTCCGGAACACGGCCGAGACTGTGAACTTTAATCGCGCGCCCAGACACCTGTCATCCGCTAGACGCCCTCTTTTTTTCGACTCTTAGAATTGCACTGCACAGAAGGTGAAAGTATGTTCCGTATGGTAATGTACTTTCTATTACTGTCGTTTTCAGCAGTCCGTGAGTTAATGGTAGTGGATATAATTGTTTTAAATTAATTACTTGGTCCGCTGTTGTTTTCATTAGACCCTTGAAGCAAGACTGCATCACTTCCACCCTAAACTACATTTGCATTTCATCACACTCCATCAATCCCCGACTCGATTAACCTCACAGTAAAGCCACAAGCTTATGTCACAGAGAAGAAAAATTGAGATCAGCATAAACTGTAATGCAGTAACGGCGAAATTGACGTCAGGATGTTCCATTTCCTGTAACGATACATTTTGACCCAGAAAAGTCATCGACACATTTCTCACCCGTTTATTAAATTTGATGTTTGTTTTTTCAACGGTGAGGGTGATGGTTATGATGTCCCAGGTTTTGGTCTGAGACTAATAGGTAGACGTCAACGTAAGATTTGTTTTTGCCGAGACGTGTGTAATATAGTTAGATTATATTTAATGTAATATTACATTGCTGATCATAGAAAGTGCCGTAGGAAATTTTGTGATATGAAAGGAAGGTCGCCCCTTTGAAGCCGAAGCTCGTTTCAATAATATTTAAACATCCAGACCTTACCTCAAAGGAAACATAACCCATAACCATTACAAATATCAGTTAATTAATGCTGTTTAGGGATATAATAGTTGTTTGTTCTGAAAATCATATAAAACCGATAAATACACTTCGCGTGTGAATATAATTATTATTAATTGTTGAAGTAGGTGATACCTAAGTGACCACACTAGGCTTTAAAGAGTAAACGTAATATTATTTTCTTTGGAAACTTTTTATTCAGCGGGCTGAATTAAGGATATCTGGTTCTCTATGTCCCAGATTTCTTGCGTGGTTTACCTTAGCGTTGTGATGGCAAACTTTACACATCGTGCGTTGTTGCACACAAATGTTCCTTCCATGGTTACCCCAAGTTTTCTTCGAAAATTATAAAAGCACAAAGGAACACGTCTATAACACAGCAAGGGGATTTATCATGTTGGTATTGTTTATTTAAGGTTGTGTGTGTCTTGCCATTTTTATATGTGGAAAAACGTTTTTATTGAGGCTGTCTTAGCACACCAGGTGGAGGGGGGGGGGCACTGAATTTGTGGCAGTTTAAGGTTCGAAAATCAAGACTGGTAGGCCGTACTGTACACCCATGGCCCTCTTGTCTTGAAGAACAAGTTCAGC